GGGCTTATCTACCTGAGCCCTGAATGCAGCTAAGTGCCTCTGGGCAAGAGAGGCCCTGAATGATGCAGACTGAAGTCATATCCATCTTCCACTGGCCAGGCTGGGCAGATCCAGTGATGTGCTAGCTGTGAACCCTTCAGTCTGGCCTTTTCCTTACCCAAAATGCCTAATTCAGAGCTGGGAAAAGCCCTTGGCAGAACAGTATCTAGGAGGCAGTTTTTGCAGTGAAATTACCAAATGCCCTTGGGCTACTTTAGCCCAAGGGAAAAGAAAGGATATTTAGGGATGGCAAGATGTAGTCTACACATTCTTAGGTAGTTTCTGCAGGGAAATATGCATAATCTCAGAGGAAAGTTTTTCATTAATGTAAAATACATGGTTGCTCCTGAGAAACCTTTTCTGAAGTGTGTTTAAACTATGCACTTCAAAGCTTCTTGTGAGCCCTGGCTTCACAAGAAACTTTGCCATAGATACAAAGAAGGAGAAAATCTCCAAAGCAATGTATGGAAATAAGAGGAAAGGCTGTTTGCTCCTTTTGCATGAATGCACCAGATTTTGACACAAGAAAGGAAACAGTAGACAGAAGAAGCTCAAAGCTCTCAGTTGCAGCCTTTTTACAGTAACAACAAAATCTGAGGTTTAGCCAAAACTCAACTTTCTCCATTATTTCAGTCTGCTGTTTTCTTGCTCATGACCTGCCCAGCTTGTATCCTAGAGCATCATTTGTGCCTGTGCTTTAAAATGCCATTGTTACACCCCTCTCAAGCTGAGTACTAACAGTAGGTGGAGATACAATCCAATTGTTCTGTAGTGTTTCCAAACAATCTCAAGCCAGTCTGACTTGCTATTAATTTTAATTAAGTCTTGCAATAAAAACCAACAGAACAGTGAAAATCATGAGCAAAAATAAATGTATAGGTCACGCCTTTATCTCCCTTTGTGCAGTAATCTGATAGCTTGTTTTGGCACCACAGGTGGAATACACAGACCTAAGTTTAGTCTCTGCTGTTTGTTTTTCTCTCAATACCCATGCCTTCTGCTTCTCCTTTCCCTCAGTTAAAGAAAATTATAATAAAAGGGAGATGGTTCTGCGACCAATTCGAGCATCAGAATACAGGCTGATTTTAAAAAACAAATCTATCAGGTTATTCAAGAGTCGTAGTTGGTGCTTCTTATTTTTTAAAGGAAAGGCAATATGAAATGCTGACATCATGTTAATTAAAATTTTACCATGGTTGGATATGAAAGGCTGTCTATGATCTATACTTCCACAAAGGTGAAACAAAATAGTGACTGTGTTTCTCTGCAGATTTAAACTTTGGAAAATGAAGGTCACAACCAGTTTTTTGCCCATGCAGCTACACTCACTTCGCTCCCTGGGCAGTAGGCAATGAATATTGACAGTTCTAGTAAGAACTCTTAATCATGTTTTTAAAGTTCTCCCAGACCTGCAAATCAGTAGGAAGAGCAGCATGCCACCCCTGGGAATAGTACCCCTGAAGAGTTTGTCCATTTTGATGGTACCTGCTGCCCAGCTTTTCAGATATTTGCAGGTTTAATATATTAAAATTCAACTTTAATTTATATCCTTCTCACTCAAATCAGTCCAATCCAGCTGGATATCAGGGAACAATAGTTTTGGGATTTTCTAAAATCAGAATTGTGTCATAGTTGTACTATGGCACTGTGTCTCCTTCAGAAGCCTCCAGAAATGCACCACCAGGAAAATCAGCCAGCACTAGGATGCAGGATGGCAGAAAGACTAATGTTCATTAAGGTGCAGGAAAGTGCTTTTGTGGGAATAATTCTTTTTTCTGAAGGTACCTGCCATTTTGCTTTGTGCTTTCATGCTGTTTGTCATACACAGCATTTATCCTGTCCTCTTTTTCTTTCCTTATGAAATATCTGATGATATGCACAGCTTGGTTTACCCCTAGATCTTCAGTGTCAGAGGGAAGCTCTAAATAGAATAAAGGTATAAGGGAAACAAAAGGATGAAGTCTCTTGGCATACAGCAGACTGGGGGAAATCTTATGGAGATATCTGTAGGTTCTGAAGCTTATTTGCTCCTCTCAGTAGCCTCTCCCAATTCACGATTTCTGATTCCCATGGCAAAATGGTCAGACATGTTACCAAAGATTATACCAAGATGACAAAATGATAGTTAATGGAAAGCTATTAAATAAAAGGTTCTGTCTTTCATATAGTTAGTTTGATGAAGACAATTTTCAGAGGAAAGGATCAGAACATCAGGAATCACAGTGAACTTTACAGAAGGTGCAATTACCTCTCATGTGAAAGTCACATATGTTTCACTGGTGTTTTTTAAATCTCATGCAAGATAATTGCTACTGCTGGAAAATATCTGTCTTTCAGTGCTGTATATCATATTCATCCAACTTACAGGACTTCTTTCATTAATAGTTGCATTAAAATATCACCCCACTCATGTTCTAAAGCAGCACTCAAAACTTAGCAATTAGTGAATTTTTAATTACATGATTTTGTTATTTCTTCACTATCTTTAAGTTCTTTGCTTATGCTCATGAAAACTAGGAGAAAAAATAAACTGTGAATGAAAGAGCATATGGATCTTGCATGTAGATATTTCTGTTTCTGCCTTTCATTTAAAGAAACTGAATTTTAAATGAACAAAAAGTAATTTCAAGAGACAGCCACATCTCACCAGCACCAGGTTTCTAGAAATGTATGGTATGACTCAACATAATCCAAAATCCTAATAATGAAATACATGTTTTCCACAAACGTGTTTTCTGTATTGCATCATTTAGTAGCACATTTGATAGTAGAACCCCACACTGCAACCCACCAGAGCTCTTTAGTGCTCCTGCAAACCAGAAAGGAACCTAGATTCAAGTGAATTCGCTTGATCCTGGTTGTCTGATGGTTACCAATTTTCTAGCATTGAGTGTGTGTGTATATATATATATATATAGTCTATAGCAAATAATGATAATTCATAGTGCTTCTCTCACATCAATGAAAACTTTGTTCACCTTAGGTTATGTCTCCATAGGAAAGTACCTTTATAGTCATACCAAGATTTTTTTATCTTTTGTATTTGATATGTTGAAACAGCATGAGCCACTCAAGAATCCTTGAGTTCAGTTTTACATGGTCTCAAGTTGATTTCCACTTGCATCCAGGCAAATTCAGCTAAACCAGGAAACATTTAGAAGAGAATTTTGTGTTCAACACAGAGATGCTGTAAACTTGATTCCCTCAGCCTAGATCTGTGCAATGAGCCACAGAGGGTCAACTTTACTTTCTAGGGGATATCTTACTGAGCAGAGGCTGTGATTTTGCCTGGGGTTTGGTCCCACACAGAGAGCATTGAGCACCAAAACTCTGTCACTTTGGCGAGGATTTTTTCCCTCCTACATTTGTTTTGCTGATAATAATTTCAGTGTGTGCTGCCACTGTGTACCCACCTGTGCCCTGGGCTCTGGATATGTTTACAAATTGAAAGATTTCAGGCATGATAAACTGCGTTTTAACAGTAATTAGAGCATATGGTGATGCTGAGTCTTAATAGAAACAACACTATTGCAAAGATTTCAGTCTACCAGTAATAGAAATATTACATTTATGCCGGCTTTGTGTTGTTTGAAGCTACTGGTCATTGTAGCTGAATTGCTGTGTGGCTCCACTCAGCCATTCTTTTTCACAGAGGTTTTTCTTGAGCAGGCAGCCATTCCTTTTATTTTCTTTTTTTGTTTGTTTCTTTGTTTGTTGGTTGGTTTGTAAAAGGGCTAGGGAGTTATGTAGCTTTCCCTGGGAAGCAAAAAGGCATGCAAAGACTTATTCCTCCCTGATATTTCCAATCTATGTGGTTGTGGTTAAACGTTTAGTTACATGGCAACTTTCCTTACGAACCACCTTGCTTAAAAATGAACTCTAAAATGCCAGTCTGCTTTAGCAGCTATTTTATGATCAAATTCCCTGGTGAAGGATGTGTAAGTTGCTGACTTCAGTGGAAGCAACATACATCTGAGGGCAAAATTTGTCTCATGGATTGACTGATTGTCAGCTGTTTGGTGCTACGTGCCAGCTATTCAGAGGCACTTAGCTCCCAGCAACTCTTGCAATGAGACCTCGGGCTGAAATTTCACAGGCTTTTTGTGAATCTCACATACAATGTGTAAATAAAAATGGGCCTGAGTCCTTATGTTCAATGGGAAGCAATTTATTCTCAGGAGCAGTCCCAATGTGTATCTAGATCCTGTGGAGATGATTAAGTACTTATTAACATGAGTAAGAGTTACAGCTTACAGCATTCTGTTGAGTATTTAAAAAATCACAAGGCACGATTCATACTGGAGTCAGTGGGCAGAGGTTGGAGGAGCAGGAAGCACTCATTAGAGACATGGATTGCACTGGGGTCCCTGGGAGCCTGTGTTTGTCAAGCTTGAGGTGTGATTTTTAAATTGCATCTTTGGTTTTGTGGGTGCCACTTTACACTTGTGCCCATCATTTTGAACTGGAAAGGTATCTCACTTTCACTCAGCTTTTTCTCGTGGGTGGTTAATGTCACACACAGAAGTAGAGTGCAATTGAAGAGTAAATCTAAGAAAGAATATTGTTTTCCAAGCAGACTGTCTTGTAAAAACTGATTTTTTTTCTTCATACTCCTCCACTGTAGGCAAGATATTAATATTTTCTTTCCTCAGGTTTACAGTTTGGGAAATCATCCCTGGGTACTTGGAACTGGTTTTCAGCTGCATTTCAGGGTCACAGTTTCTGCCACATTTCATAAGGGGTCAGAGGAGTCAGAGAACCCATGGCTGGGAAGCCAGGTTGTGTGCACTCCCACCAAGCACTGGTGAGGCTCTTCAAGGCTGAGCCCCAATCCTGAGCTGCCTTCTTCAGATTTAGACTGAGGACAGTACTCAGGCTCTGAGGTATGAGCTGCTTTATGAAGTGTTTCTGCATAGATTGAACATGTTTAACACTTTTTAGAATAGAAGCTTTTAAATTATAGGCATCCATCAGTCCCACCACCCAAACAGAATGACAGGGCATATTTTGACATTCTGGGCTCGTAAATTAATTGACTTGCTTGATGGTGAATTATTTTTATTTTGAGGTTGATAGAAAACCAGCACACATTGAGCGTCAGTTTCATTTTGAGTCTAATCATCATTCATTTATCAAATGAGGTGTCACTTTGTGTTGGTTGATGGAGTCACACAGATTTGTGGGCCCAACAGTTTTTATTCTGAAAGCAGTTCAGACCAGAGAGGTTTTGTTCCACAGAAGAAGTCATTCACACACTCTTATGAACAATATCATTAGTAATCTAAGAAAGAAACATACTGTTCCTTATCTTGAACTAGCACTAATATAATCAAAGCTGTTGAACATGACATCCAGGAGCTTGAAAGGTTAGGAATTAACTGAAGAATGTGTGAAGAATTACAATCCACAAAGGTGGATCATATCCCATGACTTCAGGCTAAATACCTCAAACTGAGAAGCCATGTGGCATTTGTATATCTTTTCATCATGTCATATATACATATATATATATTTGTTGCAAAGAAATCCAGAGATCTACAGCTCTCATGTCATACAACCACTGACAATAAATGTCATATCAGTCCCTTGTGAATACGGCTCAGTTTATACTGGAAGTAAAAGCCAGAGATTTTGAAAATCAAGAGTATCATGTGATTGTTAGAAAACTTAAATAAGCCAATTCCACACATACAGTTAGGAAGAAAGGGTGTCTAGATCTGGGCAAGAGCTGAGCATATTATTTCAGAGTTTAAGCATAACAGGAGAGGCCATCATGAAACCTTAGAGACCTGACTTCAAAACAAAATTATTAATAGCCAAGAGGGTAAAAAGCTCTAGTCAAATTCGGAATCCAGGTCTAAATAGGATCTCCAATTCAAGAATGAATAATAGATGGAGTCCAACTGTTATGTGGTTGAGCACAAATTAGTGATTCATTGATTGTAATCAAAAGCAGCTGCTTGTAATCAAAGCATAGGTTTTGATAGGTCATTATCCAATGATATGCTAATTTTCTATGTATATAAAGAGCAGAGATGGAGCTTTTCAAGAAAGGTCTTGACTATGCAAAATATAGATTTTGTAAGTTTACCTTGGTGATTTCTTTCTTACCTGTCCTTTTTTCTCAGTCAGTATTTTCTGTCTCCATAATTAGTTTGAGTTTTGCAGCAGCTTATTGGAAATGTCACCAACAGCTGGTTTGATGCAGCACAGCACAATAATGCATTTATAGGAGGAAATCAGGTCTTAGCCCTTCCTTTTACCATTATTAACTCACAATTAATACTCCTTCCTATGGATATAAGTTTGTGAGTCCAAATTTTGCTAAGTGCTTAGGCAAGTATTTTCAAATTCATCTTAATTTAAAAGTCTTAATTTAAAAGACTTCAGTAAATGGCAACAGTTAGCCAGCAATAATTAGTGAATGAGAATTACAGCTATCTAGAAACTGAAAATCAGATAACTCTTTAAATTCTTATGCACACATTTGGAAATACCTTGCCCTCAGGTCTCATAGTCCTGAAGTTAACTGGGATAAAGCTCCATGCAAAATTAGTTTCCCATATATTTAACCACTAAACATCTTTGAAGTCCAAAATCTCCTTGACTTCTTTTTCCAAAGAGACATTATTTTGCCAGTCCATGGCTAGGAAGGATGGCTGGTGTCAGTAGGTGTCTGGCTATCTCCCTTCCAGCTCTGCAGCACCCTTGTGAGCCAGCAGGTCGATCTCTGGATTTGAGCTCCAGATGTGGAACTGAAACAGAGGAGGTTGGAAGTCCAAAAAAGAACAGTTGCAATTCCCTAGTCTGAATTCAAAACACAATAGCCAATTCAATGGAAATTAGGCCATGTTCAGTGTTCCTCTAAAGGAGACCATAAGTGTCCCTTTTTACCATATGTCTCATCTGCCATTGATCTCGGTGTTTGCAATCTGTAGTTATTGTTCACTCCCTTGCTGCTTTTAGGTGCTCAAGAGGAGTTTTCCATATCAATACGACAAGATTTTTCCATTTCAATACAGGCAGAAAGTAACTTTTTTTTTAGCCTCAAACCTTGATGCTACAAACCATTCCTTATGTCATTTCCAGACAGTCTTTCTGTGGTTGCTATTTAAATTGATTTGGAATCTAAAACTACTACACCTCTGTCACAAAACTGTCACTCTCAGCTAGTGACCACTGGATAAGTATTACATTAATATGAAGATAAGGGCACACAGACAGCTCTCAGATATTCTCTGCCTCTCAGACAGGTTTATAAAGTGTGCTACTTGTAGAAGCACTGACAACCTGGCACATTAAGTTGTTTTTTTTAACCACATTTTTTTTGTAACTGGTGTGGTTTTAACACTGGGAATTCTTTTACTGAAGTGTTTCTGATATTAAGACATGGCTGCAACAGGAGGAGTAAGGAGAGAATCCCAGCACTTTTGCACTGGTGAGTAACTACATGGTGCATGTCTCACCTCTGAGAGCAGATTTGTAGAATTAGGAGTTGAAACTTCCTTAAGAGGGAGGTTCTGCCCTTCTAATTGTGGGATTTTGCATCCAGGATGTTGAAAGGCCTATTCTGTAATCATAAAGGGGATCAGTGACTCAGGCATCCCACATCACCTACAGGATCCACTGTCCCTTCCCAGCCCTTCTGTGGAGCAATATCAGCATGTCTTACTTGTGGGTAAACAGCTCTCTGGTTCTGTAACTAAGCCCAATAATATAATGAGCATTTCTAGCTTATCCTCAGTTTTCCCCTGGTATAGTCCCAGTCTTGGAACTGCTTTCACTCATCAATATTTGCTTATAAAGCAAACACACTCCAGATTATGCCATGGTTTCTGAATGGAAAATCATAGCAAAACAGAGGATTCTATTCTCACTAATTATGGGGTTTGTGAGTAAGACAGAAAATGTGGACAAAATCAGAAAAATATTACGACAGGCTGGGTGGGGTGATGGGTTTTTTCATGTTCCCTTTTAAAAATGGGAAATAGTTTTCTTCAGTAAGGCAATTTAAGGTGTCTTGTAACTAAATTGTGAATGTATAAAAATAGGATTATTTTTATACTCACTTATATAATTTCTGAATTTGGCCTAAAGTATTTATAAATGTAGATGGACAGAAAACATTAATGTCACAAAAATAAATAAAATCTCAAAGAACTAATTGTTTTTTTGCTGAGCGTATTCTCGGTCTTTATCAGGAATATAGCATGCTCTGGAGGACAGTTATTTGTTTACATTGTTTCTAAGACCTTAGAAACATCTGTATACAATTGTTTTTTGGGGTTTTGTTGGGTTTTTTTGTTTGTTTGTTTGTTTGTTTTTTTGGATGTTGTTATATGAGTATTTCAGGTTTGGACAATATAAGTGAGGACAGTTTTGATTTAATTTAATTTCTATTTTCAATAATGAGCCAGTAAACACATGAAAATATTTTTTCATTATAGTTTTTGAAGTAGAAAAATGTTCAATGTAGTTGGTCTCTATTCTTAAATTCATCTTCCCAATATTTCTTACTTTTTACTCTCTCACAGCAGGTTGGGGGCCTGATTGTGTAATTGGGAAAACTAGATAGTCTAGTTCCTTCCATCCTATCCTTCAGAGGTTAATGCACAGAAAATAGAGCCACTATTAAGTCAAGATTTCGAGAAGTTTTTTTAAAAATAAAAAATTTAATTTTGCTAATCCAGAGTCCAGGAGACAGGCCAAGTGTGGCAGAGAGATGGAGAGAGAGGATGAAACCCTTGCTGCTGGATGTGAGGAACAAATCTAGACGTAGTGGGAATAATGTCCTCCAACCTTCACCTCAGCAGGAGTCACAGACTAAATTTTCCCTTCTGAGCCTGGATGTTCAGTGCTGTGCCATGGTCAAAGTGGGCAGAAGAACCAAAGTCCTTTGCTTGATTGACTTAGCTGGCTTTGCCTATAGGACAAAAATGTACTCACAATGAAGGATAAATAAGAAACAAGACTTTAATTTTAAAATAACATTACCTTTCTTTCTTACAAAGGTTTTCTTTGGGGGAAAAAAAAAAAAAAAGAAGAAAGAAAAAAATAAGATAAATGATACCATCTCTCTTATTTTTCCAGCATCAGCCTCAAGCCATTATAAATGCTGGAGTGCATGTAAATAGCAAACCAAACCAAGCCAGGCATTTGGCTCCCTGTTCTGCTGACTGATGTATTGTTATTTGAAGTGCTGCATACCTCATTATCTGCAGTTAATAAAGTAGTATTGTGGGCAGATCTGCAGTGCTCTCAGATCTATGGAGCAGGTTAAAAAGTGGACTAGCACTTAAAGGTTGTGAAGCAGAGAAAATGATCTGCGAAATTCACAGTGAATAACAATGCATGTCTTCCATCATTGTGTTGCCCCCTGTTTTCTGCTTTTAACCACAGCCAAAACAGCCCATTCTCCTTTTTATTTTTTTCTGTATATATATTCACCTTGTCATATTTTTTCATCTAGTTGTGGGACTGTATTCAGATATTCACACTGGAAACACAAGGCTAAAGTATCATTTTCGTTTTCTAGGTGAAAATGTCTTTGCAATAAACAGGGAAGGTAAGATTTGCACCTAACTTCAAAGAAGGAGTAAAACGTTTTTTATCAAACTGGAATTTGATAAAAAGTATGCTACAGGACATGGCCTTTCTTTAGCTGTTAGAGAAATCAAAACTTTAATGATTTTCACACAAGATTTCAAGTAAAGGGATTTCATGAAAAGGTTGCAATAAGAATTTCAGAGCTTTCCACATCTTAAAAAAATATGGGTTAAAAGAGAAAAACAAATAAATAAGCCCAAGATAACTTTAGTTCATAGGATCCCATGTCTGCTGCTGCTGTGGCCAACAGTGATTATCAGAAGACCAATAACATGGTGGAGTGTGATGGAAGATGAATTTCCCTCCTTGGCCACTTCACTTCTAAACTTTCCTCTCTGCCTGTTATTATGCTTTGACACCTGCACTC